AAGTTGACAGCAATTTTGCAATGTGTATTCAATTGTTTATTGCATATATGGCTACCGGGGAAGCACGTTGCGTTTAACATTTTGACTGCCAGTCACATATGAATGGCATCTAATCTTGCTTATGAATATACATTCTGTATAGATGATACTGTATAATTAACACATTTACGGACGTTTGATGGTCACTTTTATTTAAATTTACCTAAAGTAGAAAAATAAATAAATTACAGATCATATGTGAACTGCAAAACATTGATTCTTTTGCTGAAAGTTGACATTTTTGCAAAAATTTCTTAACAAATTCTGTCATCTAAAATAGACCTATTAAATGTTCGTATTTACTATTTGAAACTATAAGTAATAAATATAATCAAATATTGTGAGAATATTTGATAAGATTTGTTGGAAACAAAAATACTATCTGATATAATTTTCAACTGCTGTGTGGCAGTCAACGTGTTAAGTCTCATTTATATTTCTATTATATGTATGTATTATTAAGTAACATCTTTTCCCTTTTTAATAAACTCTTCCTTAACTAATACATGTAACTCTGTCACTTACCAAGTTAACAATAAATTCAATACAATTTTAAATACATAGTCGATTAACGCTTCAGAAATTATTCTCTGATAGAAAGTTTAAAATTGATTCCCAACCGTTTTGATTCTCTTTGATTTTCCATGAACGAGAACTTCTTCAAAATTAGATCCCTTATAAATTTAATTCATCGATAACTTTCTAATCGATGGACGATAAATCTTGGAACTAAATGATAAAACAAGGAAAAGTTTTGTTTCTCCAAAAATCTAATAGTTCTCGATATTTTAATCCGATATGAAAGAGGTCGTTCGACCAAGTTCGAAAAGAGTAACCGTTGGGAGAAACAAGAAAGATTTTACATAAATTCACGCGAGTTTCTGTTTCATTCATCTTCGACTACTCCGAGCTGTCGACAAAGTTTACGGCAAAAGTAAGAACAGATATCTTTCGTATCTCTGCGATGACTTCCGTTTTTCTGCTTGCCAGGACTTGTTTCTGCATCGATCAACAATTTATGAAAAACATTTTCTTTCAACTTCTAAAATAAGCTAACCCCTGTTTGGGTTTCTGAAGTATGGTTTCCTGTATCATTTTACGGAATTAGTAAACGAAAACTAATTCGGTTTGCAATATTTGAAACTTTATAAGGGATTAAATTGTATCGACGCGTATTAAAGGGTCCGACCCCCATAAGGGTTGAAAATTACTTGAATTACATCGACGGGTCTTTGTACTCGAAAGATGTGACCCCTATAATCCAAACGAAATTTCTCTAATGCCTCTATTAAAGTTCGCGCGAAAGACCATTATAATTTCCAGGAAAAGTCATTGAAATGTAAACGCTCGAAACTGAGTTTGATACACAGCGATTGTTGAACGTTGCAACATATGAAATCACAAAGTTGGAGCAAACTTTATCGACGTCGTGTAAATAATGAATGCAATACGTACGTACACCGGTCGATTTAGCGAGTTTCACTGGGTGGCACGCGAGTCAAGGGTGGTTGACCCCGTGGCATGCAGGTCTTTCAGTGCACGATGGAAAAATCAAATTTTCCATGAGCGCCAACGACGTTAACGGAGAAACACCTTTGAAACGTGTCTGTTTCCCTCATGAAACGGAATACGTTATCACTTTTTCCAGTAATTTAAACACCTTCGCAAATGGAGCTGTAAGCTCCAACTTCGATGCATCCAATAACTATACCACGAATTATTAAATTACTAATGATCTACAATTATCAAGTATGAAGAAGGGAACGTTTGAAATTTTTTATACAAACTTACTAAATTTATTATTATATAGGAATTTGTACATGTAACTTAAATTTGTGCTCCAAGTTTGATTTTATAATTAAGTTAGTTATTTTTGGTGTTCCTGAGCTTAATCCTGCAAGGGTGTACCTAGATAAAAAAATCAGAGTACCAAGCTCTTTGTGGAGATCTGTAATATTTTATAAAAAACTGGCACGAGAACATCTAACATCGATCTAAAGTCTCTCGTGACTCACAACATCGCTTCCATAAATATACAGTCAACCAAAAGTTAAAATTCGCAATATTAATTTTATAAAAACGACCAAACCGGCACCATAACATCTAACATTAACCTAAAGTCTCCCCTGCCTCACAATATCGCTTCCATAAATATACAGTCAACCAAAAGTTAAAATTCGCAATATTAATTTTATAAAAACGACCAAACCGGCACCATAACATCTAACATTAACCTAAAGTCTCCCCTGCCTCACAATATCGCTTCCATAAATATACAGTCAACCAAAAGTTAAAATTCGCAATATTAATTTTATAAAAACGACCAAACCGGCACCATAACATCTAACATTAACCTAAAGTCTCTCCTGCCTCACAACATCGCTTCCATAAATATACAGTCAACCAAAAGTTAAAATTCGCAATATTAATTTTATGAAAACGACAAAACTGGCACCATAACATTTAACATCGATCTAAAGTCTCTCCTGCCTCACAACAGAGCTTAAATAAACATAGAATTAACCGAAAGGTATAAAATGGATAATTACGTAGCAGAGCACTTGCGAGAAAGTACGAGCGAATGTCCTCCTAGCGGTGAGTGCAAAGAAATATCACAGAACCGAAGATAACGACACAGCACTTCCTTCGGTTTCTGATTATTCTGGAGTGCGTAAACACGGCCGTGAATCACACCGTGACTCATTACAGGCGTGACAAGTTTTGCCAGACTCGGATCCGATATCTCCTTCGACATCCTTGTCACCGATTAATTAGCGCAAACATTCTGCAACGCCATTCACTGTATACGTGGGACGTTCCAGACTTTTCACGTCATTCGATCGATTTATTTCGCGTAACATACCTGTTTTATTAACGTAAGATCAGTTTTGAGAGATATCGAGACGATATATTTATTGATCGATAGTAGCTTTAGTTAATTTGAGCGAGTTTGATTTAAATGATAGAAATATTCAAAGTTCACGTATGGTAAATTCATTCTTTCTTTATATTTTTGGTTTGCTGTTTTCTTTTATGTTTTGCAGTAAGAGTTAGTAGTTTGTCAGAGATTTAAGACGTTATGGCGACAAAATGATAGAAGTATTCAAAGTTCAGGTATGTTAAATCCACTCTTTCCTTATATTTTTGGTTTGCTGTTTTTTTTTATGTTTTGTAGTAAGAGTTAGCGGTTTGTGTCGATCGGATCAGAGATTTAAGACAATATAGCAACAAAATGATAGAAGTATTCAAAGATTCAAAGTTCACATATGTTAAATTCATTCCTTCTTTACATTTTTGATCTGCTGTTTTTCTTTTCGTCTTCCAGCAAAAGTTAGCAATTTGTTTGCATCGAACCATAGATTTAAGACAATATGGCGAACTAACTTGAAAACCACCCGAGAAACGTTTTATAACACAACTTTTGAACAGATTCGTAACTTATATTTTTGAATGTTCTCCGAATATAAAAAAGTCAGTAATTCCCCATCTAAAGTTTCCCCCTAAATTTTTCCCTCGATATTTCATTCTCGATTTTGAACCTCGGGTGAAATTACTCCGCCTGCGCAGAAGGCGAATCCCAGAACGAATTCTGGTGGTAATAAAGTTCGATGGCGTGTAACATGGCCCAATTAATCGGAATTCCCGCGATCGCGGAATTCGGTTCAACGATCGCTTTACAGATCCAGGAAATATAATAAATTGGAGGTTTAATCGAGAAGAGTATCGCGTCTGTCGTCACTGTTACTGGAAATACTCGTTCGCTTTCGTTGTAACGTTCCTTTTTTCATCCTGTTCATAAGATGATAGCATCTCGTCAGCCAGCCTCTCTCTTCCTCGTTTATCTATCGCATCACACGGGATTTTTATCCGCTAGGAAACTCGAGTTTAGCCTTAATTAACGGTACCAGTCGCGAGAAGACGCGCCCCGCGAACGGCAGCTACAAATAAGCATTAATTAGAAAGCGAGCAGGAAGTTTGCGTAACCTGTCGGGACCATTAACTCGCGCAAAATTTAGCGAAAAGAAACGAAATATCGATAACGCTTTTAGGTTTAATCGAGTTCATTTTCGGTCGAAAGTAAGAAGGGGTAGATCGTGTTGGGTAAGATGGGATAAAATGCACTTGTTCAGAGTCTAACTTGCGGGATATAATCTTCTACCACACGTAGAAACAAATATGGCTACTTTCAAAGACGTAGAAATAAATATGGCTACTTCCAAAAGCTTAGAAATAAATATGGCTACTTCCAAAAGCTTAGAAATAAATATGGCTACTTCCAAAAGCTTAGAAATAAATATGGCTACTTCCAAAAGCTTAGAAATAAATATGGCTACTTCCAAAAGCTTAGAAATAAATATGGCTACTTCCAAAAGCTTAGAAATAAATATGGCTACTTCCAAAAGCTTAGAAATAAATATGGCTACTTCCAAAAGCTTAGAAATAAATATGGCTACTTCCAAAAGCTTAGAAATAAATATGGCTACTTCCAAAAGCTTAGAAATAAATATGGCTACTTCCAAAAGCTTAGAAATAAATATGGCTACTTCCAAAAGCTTAGAAATAAATATGGCTACTTCCAAAAGCTTAGAAATAAATATGGCTACTTCCAAAAGCTTAGAAATAAATATGGCTACTTCCAAAAGCTTAGAAATAAATATGGCTACTTCCAAAAGCTTAGAAATAAATATGGCTACTTCCAAAAGCTTAGAAATAAATATGGCTACTTCCAAAAGCTTAGAAATAAATATGGCTACTTCCAAAAGCTTAGAAATAAATATGGCTACTTCCAAAAGTATAGAAATAAATATGGCTACTTCCAGAAGTATAGAAATAAATATGGCTACTTCCAAAACTATAGAAATAAATATGGCTACTTGCAGACGAAGTTGTCGCGTGTTATATTTGTAAGTTAGAAGGGGTTAGATACGCATCGATAATTAACGTTTAACTTTAATTAACAGAGCCTCGGGATACTCGGAAGTATCCCAGCAGCCTGGTTAATCCTGACGTTGCTGGTGTTGCTGGTATACCTGGTAACGAGATGCTGTGACCGGAAGCCGCGCCCCAGGAGGTCGATAACCCTGCTGAAGTGTTCACTGGCCATCCTGGCGTTGCTTTGCAGCGGAGCTGTAGCCGTCGGCCTCTACGGTAACGACGATGTACACAACGGTTTGGTGCAATTGGTGGCTGCCGCGAAGAGCGTCGATGGTATTCTCATGGGTGTACGGAATCAGGTTGGTTCACACGATTTACTCTGACCACCCGAACATCCAGCTCGAAGTTAACGGTCCTCTAGCGTTTCGAATCATTTTTACAACTTGAAATTAATGGGAGCTTGAAAGTTGATATGAGAAAGTATTAGTTGAGTATTAGTGAAGTCTGTATTAGTGAAGTTGTTGCATCTTTTGGTGCAGTCATGTACACATTTCTTTCCTAAGAGCAATATCTTCCAGTTACTGATTTAACCCTTTGCACTCGAAGATAATTTGCAAACAGCAACTTTAATCATTTGCACTCGAAGATAATTTTATTGTTTGCAAACAGCAACTTTAAAATATTAATTAAAATGTTAAACGAATTGTTTTGAGGTTATTATTTCTCTACTAATAATTTCCACTATTGTCCATTTCACTATGTTTATACATCACATGAGCACTGTTATAGAATTAATTAAATAATGCTTATTTCAAATTATTGTATTAAATCGAATGGCGACTGAGTCACCTCTCAAGCACAAAGGGTTTAATTTATACTCGTAAATCTTGTTAGCCGCCTTATCGTAACTAATCATATCATTGTCATCTAAGATAAAAAATCAAGGTATCGTTAATTTAGAGCGAAATTTATTGTACATACTAAATTACCCAGTTTAAATAATTACGTAAAGAGACGTACATGAATTCGATAACGAAAGTCTCTTGTCTACTCGGTCTTTCTTATCGGCCCTCATTCGTGTTTTGCATACGAATCGCAGAAGTTAGAACTGCAACTTGCTGGTAATTAGTTCGCACTCTAGTTTTTCTGCGCTCAAATGTGTCCTTAGACTGCGGCTGTTAATTTAGGTCAAGAATGGCGATGAGTTTCGCGGACAACCGTAATGAAAATAAGCTCGGAAGAAGACGGGCTCCGTCCCGTGATAAATAATCCGATCTTCCGTCACCAAGAAACTTCCATTTCTTTTTTTTAATTAAAGATCTTTATCTGTCGGATTTCGTTCGAGGACCGTTAGAAGAGAGGATTCATTTGGTGTTTGAGGAGCTCGAGAAACGAATAATCCTCTTGCAGGATGCATAAGTTCATTGTTGAATAAAGAAGGCTTTGATCGCTATATCTCATAATTTAATACTGGTCAGCATTATCCGAGAAATCCGTGAATCTGAAATGAAGTATTTTAGTCGTTAGAAGATTTTTAGTCGTTACGCTTTTAATTACATGAATTGTTATTTTTTCAGACCGATACCATCGAGTATACGCTGAGGAAGAAAATATTAGACCAATTAATCGACTTGAGGGACAAATTCGATGACCCGGCCAGCAACAAGACGATACTCGAAGTACTGTTGGCCGCTCTGGAAAGCATGAAACAAAACACGAGCAACGCCCTGAACCGAAGCTCTGAAATCAAGAAACCCTTGACGGGAATCAACCTCGCTGGAGCGATCGGAATCGCGGAGAAGATAGAGCAATTAAGGTGGCCGATCACCATGGCAGTCTTGAGCGCTCTTCTAGTTCTTTGCGTGGTGCTAGTTGTCGGTGTCGCGCGACATTCCAGATGCGTTCTTATAACGTACGTGTCGTGTCATTTTTTCTTTTTATTATCCACCGTAGTAGCCATCTATACTGTTTACGTTTCTGCATCCCAGATCCGTAGTCCACATACGTATATCTTCACATCCTGGGCCAATGACCATAGCAGTCGAAGCCTAAACGACAAAAATCAATCAATCAATCTTCACATCCATACATCTTCACATCCATACATCTTCACATCCATACATCTTCACATTCATACATCTTCATATTCATACATCTTCACATCCGTACATCTTCACATCCATACATCTCCACATCCCTGATTGCAACAATTTAACCTCCTGTAAGATTATATAATTATTGCGGCAACAATTGATTGTGAACAATTGTATTGCAGATTCTCCGTGTTCGGCTTGTTCGCGGTGATCGTCTCTTGGTTGATGGCTTCGTTGTACCTTGCGACCTCAGTGGCCTTAGGTGATCTCTGCGTGTCTCCGGACGGTTACCTGACCAGAGCAGTGCCGTCTACGTTAGCCTCGGAGGTTCTTTCGTATTACACGCATTGCGAGAACACGCGTAACAATCCGTTTACGCAGAGACTAAGAGACGGTCAGGCAGCGATCACCGATGCGAGCAAGAACCTGAATACCGTGACAAAGTTGGCGCTGGAGTTGTTCCCGGACCTACAGTTGCAACCTAAGTTGAACAGCCTTGCATACGACGTTAACACCGTGAACAAACTTCTGTCAGGGTTAGCCACGTTCCTCGATTGCAAACCCCTTTACAAGCAATACGTTCATGCTGCCAAGAGCTTATGTCAGTTAGGATTGTGAGTACTTTATTAGGGTTCAATTTATACTTGATAGTATATTTGTATACTGACAATGTTGAAATTTTTAAGGTACGGATTGACCTTCATGTTATTGGCGAGCTTAGCCGCGGGTCTCTTCTTCACAGTGTTAGTTTGGGTGGACTCGCACACTTGGATCTACATTCGAAAACGGTGAGCGTCAGTTGTCCAACTCGTTTAAGCTTCGCAAAGCCATTCCCTGCGGATGTCTCATATGTCTGTGTTTTATGTATTCGTCAAGAAAAAGAATCATTGTTTTCGTCAATTGCTTTAATCGAGAGAACTAAACAGAACAAATTCCGCAGTGAAAGGTTGTTGATCGATCGCAGAACGAACAGAATGCGATTAACGAGGATTTGTTCTAGAAGAGATTACCACCAAGTGGACGAGCAGGATCCCTACCTACCACCGTCGGCAGCTTCGCAGGCGATAGCAGCAAGGACCCTTCGAGGCCAAGGGTCGTACCCGCCTACAGCCCCTTCTGTATTTTATCCGAATGCTCATGGCACTCAAAATACCATTAAGCAGCCTCTCTTGCTAACGCCGCCCCCGCCGTCCTACGCTACTGCGACTGCTCGAGCACGTCAGCTGCACGAGAGCATGTTAAAGTTTGTGCATGAGTTTTTCTTCAGTTTTCATTTTCTCTTAGCTATCGTGTGCGTCTTCATCGTATGAACTCGGACGTTACAAGTTCCGTCTAAAACTTTCTATCGAATTCGGTGCAGCTCAAGTACCTTTCGTCTATCAGTGGTATTATCCACATTATAATCAAGTGCGAGTCACATTAGAAGTTTCCAAATTCACACACTCCCAAACTTCCATCGACTGTGGTTGGTAATAATTTATTTCATACGGTGAAGGTTGAGCGGCAAAATTTTCTGAAACTGATTTCATGGTATCGTTGAAAAGGGATTCGGTCTGTTCACAGTTAAATAAACTTCGTTAGGTTTTGTATAGTCTTTCACAACTTTCTAGGGATGTTGGAAGAGTCCCTTTTCATTCGTACCAGCTAACCGAAGACTTGATGTGAGGACATATAAACGTTTCAAGTATGAATTACGCAGCGTATGAGGAATAATCACTGTTGCATCAAATCTTTATCTGACTGTTCGCTTTACATATAGACGATGTACTTTTTCATTCAATATTTTATAATACGTTGATTTCTAATGTGTACCAGCGTGTTGGATCATTCTGTTGTTCATGTTTACAAATATTGCATTGAATTTAAATGTTGCTTTAATCGTGTACAACACTCTGGTGGCAATGACACACGAATATGACAGTACAGTTATTGATCATTTCAAAAGAAAATTATCGACTTGTAATTGTTCCTTGTTACAAAGACTTATTATATGTACTACAGCTTTTAAAATGACAATAACTATACAATACGTTCGTTCTTTCTTTGGTGTTTTTACAGCATTATGAAATAACAAATTTTTTTATAAATATTCATGGATATATTTTCAAACGTTTCAATTGCTCTCTGTGATCGGTGTTTAAAAGCGAGAAATTGAATTCTTTTTTACGAGAATATTAGCGATAGTGCGCTTTATGTGCGTGTTTCCGTGTTCTATAGCGTTCGTTCGTTGTTTAGATTGTTCTAGGAACAAACAAATGTTCCAAGACAGTCCCTTCGAATAGAATAGAAATCGAAGATAACCGTCCGAGAGAAAGATAATGCTGCAACTTTGTTCGTTTGGCTTTGCTCTTTACAGAGGTGTGGGTATTAACGGGAGCGGGGGAGGCGGGGATCACAAATCGTCTCAGCATAATCAGCAGTCGACAGGTGGACGAGCTGAACACCGTTCTGGACTCGGAGATCAACCTGGCCAGTACGCGACTTTGAGCAAACAGTGCAAGACACTTGAGTCCAGTGATTTTTACTGAGGGCACGCCCCCGCAGGGCCCGGTAATTTCATCTTTATGTTACCATTTGCTTCTAGAACAAAGCTTCCGCATCTACATGTTCACTCGTGAAATTGTAGTTTCAAAATTTCAAGGAATCATACTCTCAGGTTTTTCAATTCTAATGTTTTTTTTTTGTGTTTATGGCAGGCAGAGAACCACCTTGGACCCCAAGCGTGGCCTCGTTCACCGGTACCCTGTCTCACAATTCTCATGGGCCTGCTCACTTGGCCACGTTTCAAGATTCCCGCAAGACGCAGACTCTGGACCCTAAGAACTTGGCAAATCTGAAGAGAGGTCCGACCCCGGCTTGGAACCAAAATCGACCATTGCCACCGAATCCCAGCAGCCAGCCTACTTGGGAGTTCGAGTCGCGTTCGCAGACCAATATGAACCAATTCCGTTCTTTGGTGAGAAACAAGGCACCCAACATTCGCATACAGGACCAGATGCAGGACCAGGTGCGCACGTTGGATAGGAATTTTACTAGGAATCAATTCAACGGCACAGCGCAGAACAACGCCGTGCCAAACATGTACGGCACATACAATCGAGCGCAATCGAGACAAGAAAGCAAGTCGACGGTGGCGACGCTGAGTCAAGTACAGGGTAGCGATCCAAATTTGTACGCCGTAACGGAATTATAATTGCGAACCTCGAGCTCCTGTATTATCATCGATCAACGTCTAAAACACTTTATAACGAACCTTTATCAAACGTTTTCGAGAAATGTAACCTTTTCACGATTATAAACCCTTGCCGTGGACCACAAGGACCCGTGTACTTGTCCTGAACCAGTGTTCACTACATAAACACATCTGTCGCGATTCTTTACTCTGTCATTCAATTTTTAAGGGACGAGGTTTTTAAAAACACCTCGTTCCAGGGGAACAGAAATCCTGTAAATCTTCCGATTCGTATGGCGCATTTAATGATACGGTCACTGGTGACCGACGAAACGAATTGTATTTAGTAAATGATTAGGGAACAAGAAAGGAAATTCGAGGACTCGTATACGTGTCGTGAAGGAACTGTACGCTGTGGATTGTGCACTTATGCAGTTTGCTGGAAAAGGGAAAATTTCGTTTAACATGTTGACATATTTAACATGCTTCATGGCACTAGGAACTTAATAATAAAATACTTTCTAGATACTAGTAATTTTGAATAATATTTGATACTTCTTAGTCCATTTATAATGCAAATGATTCAAGTACTTACTACTGCCTGTACTTTGGATACTATTTCTTTGTAATAATCATCATGTAACACCAGATAGCAAACTGATTTGTTAGATTAAAATATTGGTACTTACTATTGGTACTTACTATCATGTTCTAAACATGCCAGTCAATATGTTAACACAGAATCATTCACTACTGTATTTAAACGCAACAAGTATCGAATAACGTGAAAGAGAAATGCAAGAGAAGAATAGACTTGACAAAATTATAAATAATTTGTCCCTTTCTAGTAGTAAGAACCTCTTTGAATCCAGCATTGAATTTTCGTCTTAAACGAATTATATATATAATCCACAGCGTCACAAATTCACAGAAAGTATTTAAAAAACAGAAAAAGTGAAGAATCGCATAAACGCGCAAATATCATCACTCTCAAGGATTCCTTTTTGGAACTGTTCAATGTTTTTAACAATTTGATAACATCGTGCGTATTTTAATATGCATTCTTCTTTTATACGATACACTGGAGATGGCTCAATCGTTTGGTAACTTTTGATAAGAGCTTCGATTACGAGGTAACATTTACATGTTTGAATATAATAAGCTCACGAAAGTCGCGTAGTTTTATGAGCATGCTCGGAAGATCACTATCTTCTGATCGTAACGCACGCAATCTTTTGAACACCTTTAACGGAAGAACAATAAAGAAAGTGAAAGAACGTGTACCACCGCACTTCTCATGACTGCACGTTTTTCATCGCTTTCCTAAACAAATGGATGAACCAATTGTTATCGCAATATCTTGAAGCGTAAAGGAACTTGAACGTAAACGGTCGAGAAGGTCAACGAGTAATGTGAGTAGTAAGAAGTGGGGGCAGATAATCTTGGAATCGAAGAGTTTGCAAGAAGGATGATAAAAAGCTCGTGACGAAGGAGGTTGAAGAGGATTCATTTACATCGATAGTCGAAGTGTAATTTAGAATTAACGCTATTGTAATGGAAATGTTTTGTGGGGAATTTTAAGAGTTAATTGACCCATCATTCTCGTCATTTCGTTGTTCGAACAAACACTCGGAGCGAAGAGATCTTGTATATCCGATGTTTTTGTACTTGTATATCGTGTACAGTGATTATCATTCTGCGTTAGCCTATTCTGTAAATGATCGTTGCTTCTCGAGCAAATGGAACGAATGCATTAACGCGAGAGCGAGAAATTTAGGGAAAGATCGTCGTATTTATTGTTAGTCACTCGCAAACTGTGGATATTTATGCAAATACAGTTTTATATCATTTGTAATATTAATGCTTTGATGGCAACACAGTCTCAACTTAGGTCTCCCTTAAATAAAGGGAATTGTAGGGAAAATACTTGCCTTATTTGTCCATATCCTTTCTCTGCGAACATAAGAGGTTCTACAGTAGAATCTCCCTAGGTTTTAACTAGACTTCTAGAACCTAAGCTCCTAGATTCTAAGTTCCTCTTCGAGTTTTCAAGGATTAAATTAAAGTTACAATAGCCGACAAAGCGTTAAAATTACAATGTCCATTATATTCTTTTTGTTTCTTAAACTTCTTTATTTCTAACATACACTACGATTTTATTTTGTTAAAATTATACAATCTTTCTGTTAATATTTCAGTGTTATAAGCGCATAAATATCGACAGTCTAGTTATTCGTTTTCAAAGGCAACATACGAGGAAGCACAAGAAATATAGCACGCAACAACAAATTAGCATATAAGTAAACTTCGAGGGCGTCCCTCAAGGATAGTTATTAACACTCAAGGTTTTACGTTTAATCGTCTACAGATTCGCCGAATCAATTTAGTCCAGTTAACATTCATTGTCCGTGGCCTACTATTTTCTTCTGATCTGATCAATCCGGATCTTGTTTCTCGTACAAATGATGTTTCGCGAATCGACGATGCAGCAGCACCGATCTGTAGATGATTCAATCTTCGAAACGACATTTTTACGCGAATCGTTGAATTTTTATATACTTTTTTATATACGTTTTATCGAGCTAACGCTCGAAGCGATTTTCCATTCATTTTTTCCGAGCAACGTTTTCGAGTATAGAAATATACACTTGATATTAAGAAGTTACCGTACGAAATACAGAGGTTCAGCGACGTATAAAAGGTGGATCAGTAAATGTTAAGAGCTGTTACTGATCTTCCTTTTGTATTTACGTGTATATATATACATATATATTTATCAACGTTAATATTTAAAATTCGTAGCGAGACGTCGATTGTCTGAGGATTTCTACGAAATAAAAGCAACAATAATCGATTACGGACTAAGAAAGACAAGTAATTCTGCCAATATTCAGGCAACATACGTTTTAAGTACAAACGGTGAGAGCGCAAATCGTCTTTTTCATTTTTTATACGATACAAAAATTCTATAATCGATCCTGAAGCATTTCGAGGCCGTATTCTTCGAGTACACTGTTTTTTTACGAAGTCCTCGAGAAACAGGTCGATCAGAGTACCATTGAATTTTAATTTAACAAAGAATAATGTTTAAATAATTTTAATATAATAAATCATTTTTAAATTGTTAAAAATTAGGAATATCTATGCTGTAACTGTGAAACGTTTTTCATTACATGTATCATTTTAAATTTATACATTTTTATATTTCTCATTCATGTTAGTTCTAAAACATTATTAAAAGACAAAGTCTAAAACCAATTCAACTTTCTAGTTGTCTATAAGTTGTCTAAATAATTTTAATATAATAAATCATTTTTAAATTGTCAAAAATTAGGAATATCTATGCTGTAACTGTGAAACGTTTTTCATTACATGTATCATTTTAAATTTATACATTTTTATATTTCTCATTCATGTTAATTCTAAAACATTATTAAAAGACAAAGTCTAAAACCAATTCAACTTTCTAGTTGTCTATAAGTTGTCTAAATAATTTTAATATAATAAATCATTTTTAAATTGTCAAAAATTAGGAATATCTATGCTGTAACTGTGAAGCAATTTTCATTACATATATCATCTTAAATTTATACATTTTTATATTTCTCATTCATGTTAATTCTAAAACATTATTAAAAGACAAAGTCTAAAACCAATTCAACTTTCTAGTTGTCTATAAGTTGTCTAAATAATTTTAATATAATAAATCATTTTTAAATTGTCAAAAATTAGGAATATCTATGCTGTAACTGTGAAACGTTTTTCATTACATATATCATTTTAAATTCATACATTATTATATTTCTCATTCATGTTAGTTCTAAAACATTATTAAAAGACAAAGTCTAAAACTAATTCAACTTTCTAGTTGTCAACGTATTGTAATTTTAAAAAAAACAAAAGTTATGAGCATACTTTTGTAAACAATGGTATTCTGATCGTCCAGAATGGTTTTCTCAAAAGATCCGGCGTCGACCGATAAAAATCAAGATTGAATTATTTGCGGAGCGCAAAGTCTTCCTGTACGGTCTCCGTTTAAGCCCCAAACGAGATCATTCGCGATCAATGAAGATATCTGCAACGAAAACAGCGGACGACTTTATATTCCGCATCCTATTCAGTTAGAACATGTAAATAGATTTATAGACGATTACGATCGTCGCGAGAGTAAAAGGACACGGTGTAAGTGTGATATAACTTGAATTTAGCTGTTACAAATTTTAAATGAACGGTATACAATTTCTCTTATTTTTTCCTTTTACTGTTTCTTTGTGGAGAAATGAAAATGCGAGGCAACCTTCCTGGGCCATTATTTCTGAATTGATTCTATATAATGCCATGTAATTGGCAATGTGAAAACTTGTAATTCCTTGCGAAAAAATTGGAAGAATTATTTGAACATTACATTTTAGATACAAAGTGAGAAAACATTGATAGTAGGAGTTTTGTAAAAATAAGTAAAGTTTTGTTTTAATAAAAAGAAACATTTGTGCTCATAGTTGGAAGCAATTAATATTTATCCTGTTAACAGTTGATTATATCGAAGTATCTTTAAAATTACTAGATCCTCAAGGTTTATTTTTTAGCAAGGAATTACATTGCGTATCAAATTGTATTAATGATTTGTATCGTTTATATGATGAATTTTATGTCCGACGAGCATGGAAATGGTGTAGGTAGCCGAAGCATGATTAGGTAAAGCGTTTTCATCCATTGTAAATATTTGTAATATTTATTAACGGGAAGAAGAGCGTAGCGTAGACCTAGCGAGACCATAGATCTAGACGTTAAATTAATTAAATATAAGATCGAATTAACCCCTTTAATTGTATCGAAAAGGAGAAACATCCTAGTCAGTAGAAACAAAGGTTTTTCTTTTCGTACACGTTCAATATCCGGGTGTAAACGATGGATCTCTTGCCAAATTCTGTTTTTCCACGCGGCTCAAGTTTTTCCCAACACGTGGACGAACGATTCGTTGTTTCTTCGGAGAAAATTTTACTCTTCGTTTCCAGCCATTAAACTTTTAAGTCAAATTTAATCTTAAGTACGATTTAGGAAACAAAGAAAGTATCGTTTCATTCTAAATATCCAGTTGCATCGATTGAACATTATCTTCTTAGATCCGCATTTTATTTCCGCATCGTTTTGATACAATAATCGTGTGACGATATCTGAAAAGGAGAGAGTGTACGTGTGTGACAAAAAGAGAGGAAGAGCGAGAGAGAATTAATTATTTTCAAGAATATAGAAGTGATATAAGATAGAGTGCAGAAATAGTTGAAATTGATGCATTTATCTGGCCTACATGTTTGTTTGAATTAATCCAATCGTTGACTGTCGACGCAAATCGAAGCGTTAATTAAAACATTAATCTTGAATAATATTTTTACAGTCAACGAGATGCGAGAGAATGTTACAGAAAATCAGTAGCGTTCGGAATATCGAATGAGATATATCGATGCATGGTTCAAGAGCTTTTCGATATTCAGTTCGTAGTTCGATATTCGAAGAATGGCGTCCCTTTTTACGAAATAGATTTTAATAACCTATTTTCGATATACCAAAAATAAGTTTTCGTTATGATTTAAACTCTCGAATAAAAAAATTCAAGTATTATAAAATTTTTAATCAAATAAAGCTCAAGAGATAAAAGACTTATACATACTTGTCTTGCATATTCGATTTATAGCGATCAAATCTATTTCGTATTATAAATACAGTATGTATGCTTTAGCGGGCCAAATGTTTCCCAACATTTTTACGTTTTCCTTGTGTCTCGTGCACAAATCTATTATACGTGGTTCCTACTTAATTGTAAATTCCGTCAAATAGTTAAATATTTCGTTACGTATGTTCGAACAATATAGCGTTTGAATTTGTAAACATTTTGTACCGGACTCTATGCCTCAACTAATCGAATCGATTTATCGAACGTATCGCGCCAATCAAATCGCGCATAAGTGCTTACTCGAGATACGAAGTATCTTCGTTACGAAGGCAGTTTTCAATACGGTCGATTTGGCGTGTATCGTAATATCGCCCGTTTGTTCGTCCGATAAATCTTATGAAATCCATAGGCCTTTTACAGTCGATTCGCGATAACGTATTTTATTTCTTTTTATTTCAGTTCTCTCTCGGTGTGCGAAAGAGATTTAGTTACAAAGTGTGCAGAGGCTAACGAGACTTTACGTAAGTTTAAGATTTCTATGGTGTTTTTGTACGCGAGAAGAGAAGCACTTCAAGCGTGTATTGTAAAGAGAATTCTTCGAGAGGCATATATATATATATAAAGTAAAACGAAACTCGTTAATCGATATCGTTTTTGTGCATTGCGATTACGTCTAATTGCCATATTCCAGACTTAATTCCTCTTATTGTAATGGTAACACAAATATTAATGAGAAGAAAAATAAAAAAACCGTAAGATCTACAATTTTGTGAGTGTATTCGTTCAATTATATCATCGCATTCGTATTTTATTTAAAATAGCATGTATTTAATTCCATGTAAAAACGTACTTCGTCTTTGATTCTGGCGTGCATGCGCGGATGCGCGCGCACCTTGCTACCGATTAGTCGATGTACGCGCGTAAATTCAAAATAATATGCATGTGTACTTACAAGGTTCTTGGCTACAAATGTGTATAATCTTAACTCGTTAATACTCATTGTTCTCTCACTCTGGCATAATTCTTTCGATGAGATATAATTCCAGTTTATTCTTGAATGATTTATTCGTTTGCAATACTTTATTACAACAATTTAGTACATAAATATACATACAGCTTAATTTCTTTTCATTCAAGGTTTCTATCAACAATTTACTGGGTATTATAGTAATATGAACGTTTCATTATGTACTTCTTTTAAATTCGACGGAACTCATGCTTCATCAAAAATTACATATTATTACATAGCAACGATTCAAGTCGCTCGAGCGTAGATCTAAAGTATCTCTTTGGTTATCTTTTAATCGGTGGAACACTGTTTCCATTTTTTCTTCTGTCTGCCTTTTTAACGCATTTCGTTGGACTGCTTTTAACTTTAAAAAAGCTTAGTACTTACGAAGAAATATTAGCGCGGATGTTATTTAAAATATTTGAAGCGATCGCGATTTTGTGTTCTTTTCGTGCTTAAACGTATACATTGTGCTTCGGAATAGAATAAAATTTCGTTAGGATCGTTATAACAATAGAAGCGTTGCTTGGAAAATAAAAACTGATAAGCGCACAGGAAATCTGGTTGAAAAATTTATTCAGAATGTATGTGCATATAAAGTCGTGTAAAGTATTGTCATTAAGAACTTAATTATTCTACTATATTTACTTTAGCGTTGTATTATATACTCGATACTCATTGAACTAACTAAACTCGATAAGACAACTTCTAAAGTTGCATCAAGGAAATTAATAACAAGATGTATTTCCGATTATTGTGCTATGAGAAATACTTTGGTAAATGATAACGGTTATTACTCGTTATCAAATACATCTTTTACAGATTATGGTAGTCTGATAAGTACACAAGCCACATTTCATAGACCGTGTAAGAAATCCTCGAATGTTAGATCTTGAAGAAAAAGCAAAATCAGTAGAGAAATAAAAAAATAACATGAAATGTTTCATGAAGGAAAGAACGATATGAAGCGTTGTGTGTCTGTATCTTGGTTAAATCCAAGCTGCACGATACGCGCTTTTTAGATGCTAATCTTTTGCTTTGCTCCGTGAATGTAAAATGTATCTTCCACGAGAAACATCCGTTTCACCTAGAGCGTTTCTTCGTCAAGTCCATGGACTTGAACACAATTTACTGTCGGTCAATAACGTTTAATAATCACTACGACTTCACCTGGCTAGGCTCCTCTTTCACCTGTGGATGGGACACTGCATTTGTGATCACAGAGACACTTTTGCCACTTTGCAAACTAGAATGACTCGATGAACGACTGTGACTTTGACTACCAGCTCCAACTGGTGTTTGCACGAGAGGCTGCGGTGGAGTTCTAGCACCGGATCCATTAATCACCGTAGAGTTAGGTTGCAGTTGCATATGATACTTGTAAATATTTTCTGTGCTCTCAACCACTCCTACATTTAATGAATAAATTTTGATTATCGAGGATTTTCTTTCTTATATAAATTCAAGTAAAATACGTACCAGCTTGTAGATTTAAACTGCGTCCACGTACTCCAGTCTCTTTCGAAGGAGGACTCCACCAGTTCACAAAAGTTCCCACAACTGGGACGTGTCTAAGAATACCCTCTTGCCATAATTTCTCCGCATTTTCCCTCTCTAAGTCTGTCTGTGCAGCTTCAATGCCTCTCTTAACGACCTCGGATATAGTATCTAGCAATTTGGAGCTAGCTTCTACTTCTTGACCCACTTGCAGCACTAAAGACAGTAACTCTGCCACATCTGCAAGAAGAATTTCATTTGTGGTCTAACTGCAAAACTATTTTTTCTTATTTTTAAACCTTGGGACTGTCTCATCTACCTGTGTCTTGTGTAACCATTCCAAATCGCACACAAGCCAGACCGTCAGCTCCTTCTCCTAAAGAAAACGCTGCATCCGTGTTTCGCAAAGCTTCAACCAGTTGCGTGTTTAATCGATTTAGTTCCTCTTTTGCTTGGTCAGTCATAACGTGGATCCAAGTGGGAGGAGCGTAACGTACTCCGCCGAGACCTGCCCAACCAGGCATTTCCACTAAATGCAATGAATCATTCTCAGAAACTAATCTCATAAACGTTGCCTTGTGTTCGACGGTGGCTAGTAGTATTTCCTGTTAAAGAAACGATAACGATTAGTTTAAAAAATCACCTCTATGTTAACTATGTACAATTATCGCGTTTGAACGAACTTACTATCTGTTGCTCGAGACAAGCCACTACGTTATCTATGTCTTCGGTGGAGGGAGGTTGCTCTGGATTTTCCAGGGGACAAATACGAATTGCCACGCCATGATGTTCAATCTCGCACAACTCTATTTGTACGTTCTCGATGTCTCTTTGAAGAATTTGTCCCAGCCAGGAATTTAATTTGTCGTAGTACGGGGGAACTCGTTCCGACGATTGAGGATCCCTGTCCGCGGGCACAAATTGAAACACTAAAGCGCTGGCCACGGTTTCAAATAATTGTGGACTGTTCACGGGATTTGTTAGTAGTTCACTTATCGTGTAAGACCCTGTTTCACCTCCGGGTGGTTGACTCTGAAAAATGAGTCACATGAATCCAGGTGAAATTTTGACATAAAAAGTAAATAGTTTTATTATGGATTACCAATATCCTTATACAAGAAAACTTCTTTATTTTGTTGTGCAATTCTTCCACAGCCAAAAAGCATCTCTTTAACCTGTTATATACACCGTCTCTACCTAGTACTTGTAAAGTAGCCCATAATGGTAAAGTAGGTAAACGTCTTGACAGCGAATCTGTCATTAAACCTGACACCAAAGACAAGGTCGTGTCTCTTGGAGTTGGACGACCACCTTTCGTATCCGTTAATCTGTACAATGTCTGTATGAATGTGTTAAGGATGTTTGTACTAGAGAATCACTTTTCGAATTTTATCAAATTTCAAACAATTTAGAAGAAGATATCAAATTGTGAGAAACAGGCTCCGTGTAAGATAAGGTTTTAGAGTTTAAAACACTGAAGAGATATAAAAATACTAATACAACGATGTTCTTAAAAGGATACAATTACTGGCAACGACGGTATACCCAGCCATACACCGAGAGGCAGCGTAATACTATCAGCGATCTTAGAAGGCTGGAAGTCAAATACATCTTTACTGTTCGCATTCGCGAATTATGAACGAAGTAAGGATATTGATCGTAACACAAACGCACCAGATCTTTTGCAGAATTATTCAACGCTAACGCAGCCAGCGAGTGTCCCCTGAGATGGAGCCACACGTTATACTTATCACAAATTGCACGAAGCCTGGCAATATTGTCGCAATGGCCTGTTAACACTGAACCTGCTTCTGCCAATACAAGGAGCGGCGTTACGTTATTCGATTGTGTATCTTCTGCCAGTCTTCGTTCCAAAGCAGATACATCCATGCTGTACCGTGACCCAAACATCGTATTATGGGGGATGGGCCTCACACAATGAAGAGGCAATGAAAGCTGTTAAATAAAACGTAACTATAGTTATGGATTAACGTGGCAGGTTCTACTCATCGAATCAAATTTTCTGTACTTGTCTGCAAAGATGCTGCACCACGCCTAAAGGCGCAGCCACAGAGCTGTAAATTAAAGGTGGAGAGGCTGCCAGCGCTGTGAAACCTTCTTCCATGTAACGAGGATACTTTCGATGCAGCGCTAATCTGGTTACCCTGACTAATCCTTCCAGGTGATCCTCGTGAAACGAGGCAGCACAATCGACGAAACGAAAAATATGACTTAGCCATCTTGTTGTGTCCGCGGCTAAACGACCAGCCAATCTCTGAGCATGCGATTTTGGAAGAGCGAGAGCGTAAGCGGAAACTGTATGCGCGATCAATGCCAATTTAGCTGGTTCTGTTAATGTCGGCAACGTAGTCACTTGGCTCGTCGCTGTTTCTGTTGATCCATCTTCTGCCGGTTGAGGAGCGTCTTCGTGAATTACCAAATCCTACAAATTCATTTTTCGTTAAGTTTTAACGTCTTTAGAAAGTATGTCTTGTTTTAAAACAACCGCCAATTTCTAATTCTGTAAATGCTAGCAGCTGATTGGTCGGAATCGTATGACCACGTGACCAGTACTAGAGCAGTGGGAGCCAATCACGAAATAGATCGAACGGGAGCTACCAATAGCGATTGATCAATGGCTTCTGCTAGTGTTGTATTTACCTGAATTAAAGTTAATATTTCATCGGTTGTTTTTGACTGTGAAAGAAACCCAGAAGGATTATTCCAGGTAGTACCGCCACCGTCGGCTGCCCTCTCCACGGCTTCCTCGAGCCTCGAAATCACTTGTGATGCTTGAAACTCTAATGCGGATACTTCGTTCGTTGCAGACCCACCTCCGGTACCGACCTGTCAAAACGATCGAAAAACCCGAGATAACGACGTGTCACTGATACATTAATTTCTTTCGACACTTCGAAAGCCACTATTACGTTATTAAGCACTGTCCTGATCACGGCTGACACGAACCTCGAGTATATTTTGCGCTATACTTTCCATCGTCGCTTTATCGTTTGTGTCAGTCTCCTCGGCCATCGTGGCAGTAGTCGTCGTGGCGCAGTACCGTCACACTGGGTACCGTTTACATACAGCGACCAATGAAAAAAAAATTTCCCCAACGGTTCTCCTTAGCCAAAAATAGAGTTTCTATAATTAAGCGCAATTCGGGGTGGTTTACACTTCGAAAATGCTCTTCTCTTTTTTTATACGAAGTTCTTTAAATTTTTTTCTTACAACATGGTGTCGTGCATAGAAAAGGTGAACAATAAAATTAAGCGATACGGCCCTTATTTTATCGATATACTTGTTATCATAGCGCCAGTTATTCGATTCGCTGATGTACTTAATATAAAATACTTTGCATATGAATCGGCTTATCAACGCATCTGTGTTTATAATTTAGCCATAAATCTTGATAAAAAATATTTGGTTTTCATACATGGGACTATGATTTACACCATGGAAAGATAGAATTAATGTTCAGGGTAGAGATTCCTAAAGTTTGGGACTTTGGAGTTTTAGGATGTCATTTGATGTTTAACTAATTTTCATAAATGATTTTATTATAAAATGCTATCAGACTTCTTCAGTGAAGTTTCAAATATATATTTACATAAGATAATTTATACAATTTCAACTTGTCCACCAGCGTTTACAATAACATCTTTCAGAGCCTCTGCTTCTTCCTTTGGAATATCAGCTTTGATTACTGCAGGTGTGCTTTCAACAAATTTCTTAGCCTAAACATTGTATATAATTTATTATAATATTCAAATATTTTTAATAAAGATGTAAGTATTATATTGTAAAATTTATTACCTGTACAAGATTACAATCTGGTAATGTATTTTTTATTTCTTTTATTAAAGCAACCTTTTTTGCATTGTCAAATCCTACTAATTTAACAGTAAATGCAGTCTGTACTACTTGAGGTTCATCAGCTTCCTCCTATAATAAAATAATTGTATATATTGTTTTCTGATTAAAACAACTTTACATCAGTATAAGAATATATACCTCAGCTGCAGCTGGAGCAACAAAACCACCCATGGGCATCATAGGTGCATCCGGTAAGTTTAATCTTACTTTTAATAAGTCGCTTAACTGCGCTACTTCTATAAGGTTCAAAGAAACGATCTGACTAGCAATATGTTCTATTTTAGAACTAACTTCTGGTTCTTTTTTAGTAGTGGGGACCTCGCTGGATGTTACCGGAGTGCTACTTGTAGCTGCTGCTACTTCTGTTTGTTGAATAGCGCTAAAACATGTTATAATAATAACAAGTAATACTTCTCATTCTTTTTCATTAAAAACTACTTTTAACAAAAGAATAACTAATTTTTTAATCTTCCTCCTTTCAATATTTCTCTTGCTAGTACTGTTATAGTTAATTGTTTCAATTGTAGTAGGACTCAATAATGTACATAAAAGTGAGGTTATGTAATCACGTTCGATAAAGCTATATACTTATAATATGTTAATTCCTACCATTTATGAAACTGACGCACTTGGCGAATATTTCGTTGACAAATTAAACGTAATGCATTCATCGTGATTATTTAATTGTTTTGCTTCCGTCAATTATCGGATCTCAACCAAATACGAAAAACCACACGATGAAGAAACAAAATCGTCCAATCCCTTTATGATGACATCTAGCATCATTACATAGAAGCTTGTACCACTGTCGATAATATTAAACAGATGATAAAACGCGACCCATAGAACGCCATCTAGCGGCGGAAGATTGGAACTCATTAAGCTACAGTTTCAAAAGTGTGTAGTTCACCCTGTTCGCCGCAAAGATGGCGCTTGCTCAATTTTCGCTGATGACGTCACTTTTTAAAAAACCGCGCGTAAAACTTTCGAAGAATACGAAACTATTATGCGTTCAAAATAGTTCGCACAAATAAAATATATCGTAATATATTAATTAACAATCATTTTGCAACATATCTGCTAGAATAAATTAATAAAAATGATGAATTTGAATAGTTACAACAACAATTTTATAAATAAATAACTAACAAAATTATTAATTACAATAAAATATATCGTAATATATTAATTAACAATAATTTTGCAACATATCTGCAAAAGTGAGTTTAAAAAAATAATAAATTTAAACAATAGCAACAATAAATTTGTTAATAAACAATCGAAAAATGTAAAATTATAAAAAAATTCATGTTAGAATAATTATAAAACCTCCAATCATAGTGGTTGCACCCTATTGGTGGATTACATGATATCTAATTGGCCACTGTAACTACCAATCACTCATACTCGAAAAGGTCGAATATGATCTATTGGTGGATTATGCGATGTCTAATTGGCTACTGTAAACTACCAATCGCACTTGCACTTGAAGAGGTCGCCGCTGCTCAGTTTTGTTTTGGAAGTCTCGGAGGTCGGATCGGCCCTGTCAACACTTACCGGTACGAGTCAAGGGTTTACTTTACCGATATTGTGCTTGTCCCTGTATTACCTACTGTGCTTTAATAAGTGTTTAGTGTGTTTTAATAAATAACCTGTCAACGCTTACCGGTACGAGTCAAGGGTTTACTTTACCGATATTGTGCTTGTCCCTGTATTACCTACTGTGCTTTAATAAGTGTTTAGTGTGTTTTAATAAATATTTTTTAATAAATATGGGGGTGTATTAATAAAATGTATGGTGTGATTCTACAAGTGTCAGTGACTTAACCAGTGTGTTACCTGCATGCATATACGGATATATTAGTGTACCTAGTGTTTATGCAATGATTATTTAAGTGTTTTGGCATAGTGTTACTGGTGATTTAGTGTACTTTATGCAATGATTATTTAAGTGTTTTGGCATAGTGTTACTGGTGATTTAGTGTACTTTATGCAATGATTATTTAAGTGTTTTGGCATAGTGTTACTGGTGATTTAGTGTACTTTATGCAATGATTATTTAAGTGTTTTGGCATAGTGTTACTGGTGATTTAGTGTACTTTATGCAATGATTATTTAAGTGTTTTGGCATAGTGTTACTGGTGATTTAGTGTACTTTATGCAATGATTATTTAAGTGTTTTGACATATTGTTACTGGTGGTTTAGTGTATTATGTGGAGTGATTATTTAAGCGTTTTGACATATTGTTACTGGTGTTTTAATATATTTTATGGAGTGGTTATTTAAATGTTTTAACAAATCGCTACTGGTGTTTTAGTGTGTATTATGGAATGGTTATTTAAATATTTTAACAAATTGTTACTGGTGTTTCAGTGTGTATTATGGAGTGGTTATTTAAATGTTTTTGAATACTTGCACTGGTGTTTTAATGTGTTTTACCATGTAGTTATCTATGTGTTTCGGTATAAATTTGCAAACGTTTTAACCTGTGCCATACAATAATTATTCAAGTGCATTGAGATATTTTTTCGAATATTTATTTGCGTTTTGATATACATTTGCAAATTTATTACTGGTTTTTGTAATGTAGTACTGCATGCATGCTTAACTTGTTTATTAA